TCCTGTGAGGTCACTGTGGGTCAGCACAGACTGATGATGGTCATGAGAGGGAACTTTTCATCTCTTTGACTAATCATATCCCACATCAATAAGATCAAACTCTGGGGCTTTGACCCAGGCCTTTGTGTTTATTAACAATTTATTAACCACAGTTGTAATCCTAAGAAGCATCCAGAGTTGAAAACAATTGCTCCCAAAGTAATCATTGTTGTTTTGTTTTTCTGTGCCAACCATCAGATTCCAACTTATAGAAACCACATGTGCAACAGAATGAAACAATGCTGGATCTTATTTCATTTCCATAATTGATGCTGAGTTTGAGGTTATCGTTGCAGTCATTTTATCAATCCTTTCAGTTAAAGCTCTTAATCTTCTTGGTTTGCTCTCTGCCTTATTAAGCACAATGTCATTCCCCAAGGATTGGTCCTACTTGATAACATGTGTAAAGAACGTGAGAATAAGTTTCACCATCCACATCGCTAAGTCGTATTCTGGCCGTGCTTCCCCAAGACATGCTTGTTTTTCTGGGAGACCAGGGTGTATTTAACACTCTTCCCTAATGCAACCATTCAACAGCATCACATCTTCAGGCTACTGAAATTGTTCTTCAACTTTCCTGTGCACTTGAAATGCTTGAAAACCTATTGTACCCTAGGCTTAAAATTGACATCTTTGCTTTTTAACACCAATTTCACCCAGTACTATGTGTCCTTTGATTTTCTCATTGCTGCTTCCATGGATGTTGATAGCGGAGTCAAGTAAAATGAAATCCTTGGTAATTTCAATCTTCTCCACTTATCATGATGCTGTTTATTGGTTCAGTTGTGAGGATTTCTGTTTTCTTTATTTTGAGGTATAATCCATACCTCGGTGCCTCAAGTGCATTAACAAGTGCTTCAAGTTCTCATTACTGTCAGCAAGCAAGCTTGTGTCATGTGCAGGTCTCAGGTCATTAATGAATCTTCCTCTAATCTTAAGGTCTTGTTCTTCATATCTTCCAGTTTGTAAAAAGTATCAGTTTAGTACAGAATAAATAGACATGGTGAAAGGATACAATTTTTCTGGACACCTTTCCTGATTTTACTCCATATAGTTTTGTTTGAACACAGGCTTGTTTATCTAACTATGGACAGGTTATGCATAAGCACAGTGCAGTGTTCTGATATTCCCCTCTTTAGCATTGCTATCTATGACTTCTTGTGCTACATAGAGTGCAATGCCTTTGCATAATTGATAAAACATATGTAAACTTCTTCTGGTGTTCTCAACATTCAGCCAGTATCCATTTAATGTCTGCAATGATACCCCTCATTACACGTTCCTCTTCTGAATCAGGTTTGAGTATCTGGAGTTAGGAGTTAGAACTGGAGGACCTTCTTATGAAGGAACCCTTGCTTTCTTTTGGAGGTAGGAGACCTATCTGATAGCACAACATAACTCATTTATATGGAGGTCCCTTTTTTCGTTGAAAAAATAAACTTTATGCTATTTTGATTTCTGCTTTGACTCTGGTTCTTTACACTCTTTGTTTGAATTCTACAGATTGGATTTTATGAATATTTTAAATCTCCTTCGTCTGATTATAAGTTACACAAAAGTAACTGATTTATAAGTTACACAAAAGTGTGATACATGTGGTGATAGCATATTTTTTTTATAACAGGTAGGATTTAAATTTGGCTGATATCAACAAAGTGTATGTAGGTCCTTATTATTTTTTAATACTTTTTCCCCTGAAAGTATTATATGCACAACTAGTGAATCTGTTAATAATGGATCCCGTTCCCATTCTGTCCAATGAAAAGACCACATAACCTAACACGATCTCCTCCCTTAAGCCACAATTAGCCCACAGTAATCAGATGACTAATTCTTTAAAATGGTACCAATTGAAGATAACCGATAACTACTCTTCTCTCCCAATGAAGAAGCATGAAGGAGGGCAGTGCAGGAATTGCACAACAGCTAGGTACTGTTCTCAGGAATGCCGATATCTATTGTTCGGGTTAACCATCCTTACTCACGAATTTCCATTGTCCTCCAGTTAGCTCAGGGCCCAAATGACTGCTAGCGTTTGAACCATCACCTTGTAACTTGAAATACCAAAAAAGAAGCCTTTCCAAGTTTTAAAAATGTCTTTTGTGTACAGTGTTGCTATGTGTCATATATGGTTCAACAATAATGAGTTTTTGTTTGCTTTGTGTCAAAACACTTTAGATAGATGATAGATAATAGATAGAGATGACTATATCCATTCATGTATATGAAATTAAGAGTATCTTTCAACTACTCCAACAGTGCTAAATAAAGTCGCTGGAAGTGATTCCTATGAATACTAAAAGAGAGAATATTTTTTCTCTTAAGATTGAAAGAACTATGACCACAAGATGCTCCATGTTAAGCATAAAAAAATAGATAAATCATTTATCTAAAAAATTGTCATGATCACACATCTTACAATCAGCTTATAAATGGAGTCTCCTAGAATACTTTCATTCAAATTGTGCCTAAAGTCAGCTTCATCTGTTCCTTGGAAATGTGGTAGGAGTTTTATTTCTCTGCCTTGTTGATAAGAGTTTTGATTGATGAAAATGCCATACTGTGTTTATTACTAAAAAATCTAAAATTTTGCTAAACCTAATGTTTCTATATATATAGCTGATTTACATATTCTCAACCTACTTCATGCATTATAATTCCTCAGTTAATGGAGTATAATTCTACAAAAATTCTACAAAAAGCCCAGGAATTGGTTTCTATTTAGGACTGATTTCATAGCCAAGCAGTCATGGGAAATGGTACAACACCTTTGTATGAATATATTATCTGTATGATATAATGCTATTACAGAAAATCTCTACTGATATTGATTATCTGGAAATCTGTAAGTTGTTTTTCATTGTTAAGAGCTTCATGAATCTGGAAATTAATTTGAGGCTATTTCCCATCAATTGGGGTAATATTCCTCAATGAACACTTACTTGTACAACCTGTTCTTCTAAGAGAAACGGAAAGAGTACGTGGAACCCCCAGCAACTGAGAATAAGAACGACAGCTGCAGCCTCTCCCATTTGGATTCAGCCACTTCTGTTTTGTCCTGAATTTTTATGATTATTTTTTAAACTTTGGTAATATTCTTTCAGGTATATGTGGGAAAGTCTTAGAAAGTAAAATAAAATGCAATGATACATTTTCTTTATATACAGTTAAACTTATGATACGCGAACTCCATAGAGACTCAAACTTTAAAAATGGCATGCCTATGCAATGTAATTTTCAGTTGAAGAATTTTAAGTTTGTATTATACATTTTAGCAAATGTCACATTACGTCTTATAATGCCATCTATCACATTTGACAAGGATTCATCATTTTTTTCCTTAGGAATTTTTATTGTAACTTTATAACTGTTAAGAATAGGGTGGGGGTAACATAGAGTGAG